GGTGGGTTTCTGAACAGTTTTTGCCACGTGAAGCTGCACCTGCCAAACAATTCATGTGGCATTGGAGATGCAAATTTTATTTCTATCCAATTTCCCACATTTTGAGTTGATTATGTTGATAAAAAAGCATCATACACAAAATATGGATGCTGATGTGTGTTGATACTTGGCTGGAGAAGCCAATAAACTCAGTACGTTTGTACAAAAAGCATGCAGTAGAAAAGTTAATTTCTCCCTGGGGTATGAAGATAAAACATCACTCTTCATGGTATTTTACTTGACTGTGTGACCACAGAAGGTGCTTGCCACTTGGGGAGTAATTTGGGTGTAAAAAAAAAAAAAAAAAAAAGCTATGTTAGCTCCTTGTCATGTTGTATAAACTGTCTTAGGTGTTGTATGGACTTCACTTTGAGAGTGGAGCTTAGAGCACTTTCTCTTGACAAGTGTTGATGTGAAATGAACCTCAGATCCAAAATATACGGAACCTCAATTTTGTTTGAGGGCAAACTTTCTCACAGCTTTCTATGACAATGCTCAAGACAAAACTCTTGATTTTATGCCAAACTGATGCAAAAAATAAATAAGTAAATACAATAATCCTGTGGCAGTCCAGCGAGTTCCCTGCACCATACACTGTTCAGCTATTTATACCTTTTCCATTCTTCCCATCACTGAATGTATGAATCACCATCTTCAGAGCATTAATGAATTGCTCCATCAACCTACGGGTTGTAAATTCTGGTCTGAACAGATGTGATGCCTTGTAATTGAAAAAGCTCATATAGACATAAACAAAATACTGTATGTTGGCTCATTTTGGATCTATTTTAGAGTTTTAATGAGATGACCAGGAAATATCTCTTTGCAGCACTCTTTTTGCCGAGACACGGTGCAAGCAAGCACACTCCTGTGGAACATGATGTGACGTATGCCCCGAATGGCTACCACTAAAATCCATCTCCATGCTTTCTAACAGCATTTTAATTAACAAGAGAAGACACATGAGGTACTTCTGGGATTTTCCATGGATCAATCAGCTCACTTTCTGGGCAGAATGCATATCCTTCTCATGCACAACAATAAACTGGTGCCACAATAAATATGCCATTTAACCAGCTATTTGGGTAAAGTGAGCTGATTAGACAACAATTTCTCTGTTAAGTTCCCACAAATAGATGCCTTTTATTTTTAATCACAGTGAGTAACATGCCTGAAACTGAAGAAAATGTGTATTCAATGGGTTCAACTGCACCACTTGTAATTCAGATTTTAACATAATTTTGAATCCTTGATGTAGACTGATGAGTTATTTGTGAGAATAGGTAAAGCCTCACATACAGGCCCACCATTCAGGGTACTACACCACCACACAGCCTCAGTAGACTGTCACCATTAACATACAGTACATACTGTACCATACATACAAGTTGTACACTCAGCCCCCAAACAAGGTGACAAATCAACTGAACCCAGTCAGCTGGTATTCATAATCAGTGAATGTGTGAGTTAGGAGCTTAGAACTGTCCTTATACTGTATTTTACTACTGATGATTTTATTACTATGGCTGAGAACAAGAAGCCCAATACATAAGCCCAAAGCTCCTCGGATGAGGAGCGAAACGTCTTCTGTTACAAATAAAGTCCAGTTGTTTTTGTATTGAACGTTTTTTGAAGAAGCCCAATACATAATTGAAACCATCTCCCAAGTCATTTTCTTATCTCTGCCCATGAACCACATGTTTGGGTTAAAAGAGAATGCTGGGAAGGCTGCAGCTGGCTCCAAGGACACCTTCTGAACTCAGCTGAACTGATAAGGATATAAAAGCGAGTGCATAATGCAGCTCGGGGCTGTTTTTCTGTGAATAGTTTTCATGCATATACAACTACCTTATGTATGTGATATATGTATATTTATGCAACCTCTCCAGAAAATCTGAAATTGCAATTATAAAGACCAGTTAAAATCTCCTGCCATCGAGTGCGGTTCATTTGGGTAAACATCATAAGTGAGAAAGAGATTTTCTCCAACAACCACTGATTATTCCCTAACCCAGCACAATATACTTGTGAGCACCATACAATACATACTTAACTTCTACCTTAGAGCTCTAGATTGAATTAAGTTGTGGTGAAATAAAAAGTTTGTATAGCCTGGATTCACCAATGTCGGTCTTCTCGCAGTCTTTTAGGAATACTGTTCAGCCCTTAGACTAAGAAAAGAGTTTGGCAGGCTGGTTACTCACACCTGAAATGGCACAGTCTCTGTGGATATATTTGAGTTGCCCTTGCTGCCATGATGCTTAGACAAACACAGAGAGGCTGGAAACAGAATTTGTTGTGGCTGATATACAGATCGGTGGAGAAGGCAGATTGACATGAATAAAGATCAGTTCAATTCAGTTCAGTTTAAGCCAAGTCACAACAGCCAAGTCATTAACAGAAGTCATCTCAAGACATTGTACAGAAAGATTTATATACAAAGATAAAAGTAACTTAATAACTTAAAGTATCTGAGGAGCAGACTGCTTTGAGTTTAACCTCATCACATACTCTCATTTTGAGCAAGCATAAAGGCAACAGTGGAAAGGATAAACTCCCTCAGGAGGAAGAATCCTCCAGCAGAACCAGGCTCAGGACAAGCAGCCATCTGCTTTGACCAGCTGAGTTTGAGAGGAACAGATACACAATGGCAGGTAGAGAATCACGTTAAGATAGAAATCATTTCAAATGCAAACTATTCATATGTATGCATTTGTAACTATTCATTTTAAGAAATCAGGTCAATTTGTCCTCCAGTAGTCTAAACCTATAGCAGCATAACAAACCAACACTAACTATAGGATTTATGAAAAAGGAAAGTCTTATGCCCAGTCTTGAAACTGGAAAATGTGAAAGCCCTACGGACAGAAACTGGAAGTTGGCTCCACAAGAGAGGAGCCTGATAACTGAAAGATCTTCCATTCTGCTCTTGGAAACTTAAGGAACCACAAGTAAGCTTGCAGTCTGAGAGTGAAGTGCTCTGTGAGGAAAATATGGATCAAGAAGATCTCTAATACAAGATGGAGCTAGGTTGTTGAGGGCTTTGTAGGTTAAAAGTAAGATTTTGAATTATATTCTGAATTTGACACGGAGCCAATGGAGAGAAGCAAAAACTGGAGAGATATGATCTCTCCAACTCCAGTTAAGACTCTGGCAGCAGCATTTTGGATCAGCTAAAGATTTTTTAAATAAGTTTTTGGACACCCAGATAATAAACCATTGCAATAATCCAGTCTAGATGTGATAAATGCATGAGCCAGTTTTTTTTATCAAATGAAGAACAAAAACCTGAACAGGATCAGTTGATGAGAAATGATCACTACATCTAACACTTAGAGGAAGGAACCTTTTCTCTAAGGTTTTCCATTGAGGGTGAATGAGTGTAGTCCTCTTTCAGAGCAATGGCAGCCTCTAGCACAGGTTGGTGGCCACTGGCAGAGATATCAACTCCAGCAGCATCTGTATCTCTGCCTCAGTCTGCAGAAATCTCCAGTCCTGCTGAACCTGGTTGGTAGTAAAAAGCCAGCAGTTGGTTTTGAGTTTCCTCTTTGGTTTGTGTTCTACTTGCTGCAGCTAAATGTACACCGAGTAAGGTTTTCTGCCAATTGAGGGAAACACACAAGATCAGTGATGCTGCCTGGTATATACAGCGATGCTCGTCCAACATCAGGCTGCAAACAAGGCTTGTCCCAGGCCCCTCAAGTGATTCTGCATTCAAAGGGCAGAAACTAAAATGAACCATTTATGTTGATTTATCTTGATATGGTTTGATGAACCCCCCGTCTCCTCTTAAAGTTGTACATAGACCACAAAAATCCACTATAGTTATGTAAAAAAAAAAAAAAAAAAAACTTATTTTTTGTGTGCACACAGAGACAACAAAATAAATGAGCAGATACAATGCAGATTTATATTGTTTTAGTACTGTATGTATATTTGAATTCTCTAAGGTCCCCATAATGGCAATAAGCATTCAGATTCAGGGCTTAATAAAAACTTAAGAAACACAAATTGTTACATTTAGCTGAAAAACATACTGAATGAAATGCAGCAACCAAAAATCAATTCCGACATATCAGCTGAATGGCTGATTGATGTCTCCGTCCTTGTCACATAAAGTTTGTAATAACAATGTTAAAAAAAAAAATACAATCAGCTGAAGTCAAAGCAGTATTAATAGCTTCTGTCAGCTTTCCAGATTGGAAACAGGAGTTTGGTCACTCTGTTTCTGAGGACGGCCCGAGCAAATGTCATTCTTATTGGCATATGATGAATACAAGTCACATTGATTGATATGAGCTGTCCCCGACATATGAATGTAAAGTAGGCTACTTCAGACAGCAGTCAGTTGCTACGCTCTGGCTCGTCTCATACTATCTGATGAGACGTGACAGCGTTGGAGCCATGGTGGAAGTATAATCAATATGCTACAGGCATCGATCTTAACAGCCAACAAAAATACATTCATTAAACATAAACTTATTGTTTATTTATTTCATTTTCATTCTCTAAAAGCTTTCCTTTCTGTGACATGAAAAATAAACAGAAGACAAGTGAACTGGAGAAGCTGCCAGAAGTTTACAAAAACTCATGTAAATACAACGTTTGGCTAAAAGTTTCATTTTCTATAATCTGTTTTCTGATTTATAGTCAGGGTTTCCAATTGAACCAGTAAAACAAGATTGGTTAACATTTAATTTTCAATATATCTGATAGATTAAGGACTGTTGATGCTCTTTTCAAAACAAGTCAAAGGCAGATTTTTTTTTTCAATTGCCCACTTTTTCTAAAATTACAGGGACTTCTGATTAAAACAAAAACAGATAATAAATTAACATTGAATATATGCTTTTCTCCTATTTATCCAAAGGTGTAAAATATTTCAACCACATGTAAACCAATTGAAAAAAAATCAGCGCAGGTCATTTGTACATATTTTCAGAAATGTGTGATCAAGGGTTAGTGGATCTGATCTAATCTGTTCGTTTTGGCTGCTCTCCTATTTCTTGTGAACATTTGAGGATGTTCTTTTCTCTCTGGTCATCAGCGATCTCCTCTTCTTACTGGACACGGCTCCCACGGGTCGTATCTTCATCTCGGTGAAGTCAAGTGATGTCAGATGTCCCTTCCATGGTTCCCAGTTGACTCCCTAACAGCAAAGTGGCAGATTGAATAAGAAACAAGAAGGACAGATGAGATAAAGGTGAAAAAGAGACACAAAAAAAAAAAAAACAGATGACAGACAGGTAGGATGACCAATAAAAAAAGTAATAAGCAACAGCTTCTGGCTTCATATCATGTGAGCACAAACTTCCTTTGACTGTTATTGCGTTTTAGCGACAAACATTGGAGGAGACATCTGCAACAGCATATTATGGATAGAATCTCGACAGAAGAAGATAAATCCCCTGACATTTTCTGAAGTATCAGTCTGCCCAAGACATAATAACTGTTGTTGTTTCCCTATCAACCCAGTGGGGAAAAAAAAATAATAATAAACCACAGAAGTTTAAAGCCAGTTTGAGAAATGTGTTTTCTTATCACTCATGATGGATTCTAGTCATTTCAGCATCTTCCCAACAATCCAAACCCTAACAAGAACTGGGCTGAGAGGAAGCTGCCTTGATTACGGAGCAGGAAACAATCTCCTGGTGCGCATGTTTTTCTGTAAACAAAGCTTTAAAAGTCATTTATTTTTCTATCATTTTGAATAGTTTGATTTGTATTGTTTTAGTCTTGACAACAAAAAGATGTGAGCAAAGGCTGTATGCATTTCATACATTGTTGCATTGACGTGAAAATTATTATGCAAAACATTGAAACTCTAAATACTTAATTTAAGACATTCAAACTAAAATATGAATCAAATAAAAACAGAAACATCATTTTATTTGATGAAAAATGGCTACCCTTAAAAGGAAAGTTTGCATCATTTTTACCATATAAAAGCATTTTGATTCTTGTTTTTTTTTTTTTTCAGTTTTATTTATGAAAAGTTGACAAACTTGTCTGTTACATCCAGCTCTTGGATTTTGTTTTTCTATTCTTAAATTAATTATCATAAGTCACATTGTGTACAGCACATTTAAAGCCCAGTGTTTTCTCTGTTCATAAAGGTTTGTTGTGCTGCAGAGCTTCCACCGCGCTCACTCACCGTGCTGTGTCTGCTGTCACCCCATTTGCCGTTGAGGTTAGCCAAGTGGCAGTTCTTGTACCACCAGGCACCTCGGTGGGTCAAGGCACAGTTTCCCAGTGCAATGTCATTATCTAAATCAATGGTTGTCCAGGGTCGTCCTTCATGGTAGGTCATGGCATCACCTGAACATCATTAACAAAAGTGTTACAAGTGATTCTCTCACTGAGTTAAAAATGTTGAATTTAATTCCTTTAATACTCCACAACACTATACTTAATACTGTTTATGGGATGCTCTATCTGTTATGTTTCTGTACAAGCATTGTATACCTCTTTGTATACATTTTAGAAAGCCAAAGTATTTTTTTTAAAGCAGCTCTTGTAGCAATGACAATCTGAGTCTAACCCACCTGCTGTCCCTCTATATTTGCCAATAGTGAGCTTGAACTTCTGCTTGACCGGTGCAATCTTAAACTTGTCATAGACAGCGTAGGCCCTCTCTGAGCCCAGACCCAAATCAAACCGCAGCTCATACTGAGTCGGAGTGTTGGTTAGCTCATAAATCTTCTCCAAACCTGCAGCAGCACACAGAAAAACAGAGGATAAACACTGAATATGTGCACATTTTGCTGTCTGTAGAAACACCCCTAAACATCAGTGCAATGCTCACCAAGCCAGAACTCCTCTGTCAAGTTACCAAAACCTGCTATGTACTGCTTCCAGCGTTTCATGAAGTCCAGCTTGCCAGTGTTACGGCGCTGGAGCACCTGACAGCAGCAAGCACAAGATTTCACAGACAGATGTTACACGAGTAATACAAGAAATTTGCTTAAAAGGGTTTCTATACTCATTATGGCAGGAGTAGTAACCAAACATTATTATTTTTGAGTATTTAAAAAAATTTAGCATTGTGCTTTAATTATGCTGGAATAAAAACAATAAGATAAAAAAAAAAGTCGAAACTGAAGAGAGGCCAAGATAACATTATGTTAAGTGTCGAGAGGACATAATAAAGATTTTCAGACAATAATAACTTCCTTCAATTTTTTAAAAGATACAATGTAATTTCTGGACTATTGCGTGCACCTGAATATAAGCCCCACCCGCTAAATTTAAAAAGAAAATTTAAATTTCACGTAGTCCGCACTTGTCTATAAGCTGCAGGTCTTCATGTTGTAACATGAGATATTTAAACAGAAAGTTTTTTTTTTTTTTTTTTTTTTACTATTAATACGTATCAGTAACACACACAAATACAGTAAAGATTTAGTTTTTTTTCTGAACAGTGCATGTAACACGTCTGATTAAAAATATTAAAAATACAATAGTCTACCAGGAAGTCATTGATTGCCACCCCACAAGCGAGACGTGTATTGGGCAGCTATGAGAACGCCTGGGTGTAACGAAGCTAAATGTTTTGGTATCATGAAACTCGTTAGCCCATCAAAAAATAAATAAAACAATTGCTGCAGCATTGTATAAGCCGCAGTGTTCAAAGTGTGTGAAAAAAGTAGCGGCTTATAGTCCAGAAATTATGGTATCAAAACTTATAGGCATATTTAGAACTGACAGGAGGAAAAAAACAGGAATATTTCATTCCACTGAGCTGTTCATACTATAATCTCTATACACTATTACCAAATAAACAATGATATTGACATAATGGGAGAAAACTATATCTTATTCTGAAGTGCTGATCAATAAATCATACCAGCCAGCCGCCTCCATCGGTGTGCATGTCGCAAAATGCTTCTACTGGTTTCGACCGGTTGTTGTTAATGTAGACGGTGTAGATGCCACTGTTTGAGTTGCCATTCTTCAGGATCTGGACACAGTCCACGGGGAAGGAGTGCTGCATGCCAACTAATGAAGAGGTGTGACAATGTGACATAGAAAACAATCAACTAGTGAAAGAGACGAGCAGGTTAATGTTCATGTAGGTGTAAATACACTACAGACCAGTTTTGAAGATTGTCTCTACCATCTTGCTCCTTTTGTAGCCTCTGTAGGCAACAATGGTCACAATATATCTCTTTCCCATCTCTAGGCTGGATGCAGTGAAGCTTTTTTGGTTGGCTGCAAGCTTCCTTTCAACAATCTGATCACCACACAAAAAGCAGAAATGACCTTGATGAACCCTCAGTTTAATATAATTTCACGTATTGTATTATAATCTCTATATGATTACATGCCTTTCGTTAAGTTCACGATGAACAAGAAATAATTTGAATTTAATGGTTTTGAGAGCAGGCAGCACGGTGGCGCAACTGGTAGAGCTGCTGCCTCTCAGCGAGCAGGTCCCTGGTTCAAACCCCGGTCCAGGGGCCTTTCTGGGTGGAGTTTGCATGTTCTCTCCGTGCATGCGTGGGTTTTCTCCGGGTACTCCGGTTTCCTCCCACAGTCCAAAAACATGCATGTTAGGCTGATTGGTAACTCTAAATTGTCCCTAGGTGTGAGTGAGAGAGTGAATGGTTGTTTGTCTCGTTTGTCTCTATGTGGCCCTGTGATGGACTTGCGACCCGTCCAGGGTGTACCCCGCCCCTCGCACAGTGATTGCTGGACATGGGCACCAGCGACCCCCGTGACCCAAAATGGAATAAGCGGGTAAAGAAAATGGATGGATGGATGGATGGTTTTGAGAGCTGTTAGATTCATTAGCTGACTTGTTTTGTTTGTGGCCACAAGAGGTCACTACTCTACAGTGCTTAAATTCAACATGTGACATTTAGTTGTTTATTTCTTTCCTTTTTAAAGTTAATTCAACATTTTGTTTAACTTAGATGAATTTGTGCGTTTTTCTGTCTATGCACTCCCACTAGATCACACACCTCATCATTTTAATTGAAATAACATACAATAATCCTAAAGAAAAGAACAAACTTGTGATGATTTATACTTATTAAAAGACATTTATTTTTGTGCACTGACGGCTACTCTATTTGTGCATTACCTCTAATTTCCCTTCTTCGTCTCTGTAGGTGAGGATGTAACCATCGATCTTTGCCAGAGGAGGAATCCAGCTTAAAGAGGCAGAATCCGCTTGCACGTTTGAAGCTTTAAGGTTCTTTGGGGAATCAATATCTGTGGATATGAATGTTAATCAGAGCACGTTATAGCACAAAATTATTAATTTATTATTTAACACATCTTATAATATCATTGTTGTGCAAGTGAAGGCTATTTTGTTTCTTTTGTTGTTATGGCTATGTCACTGCAACACTAAAGTAGTTAAAGTTTTTGACATTTCCAATCCCCCTTTAGGTCCTAGAGTGATTGCTTGAATGCATATTGAGTATTTCTCCATAAGAAACATGTGAAAGACTATAAATATCACCAGAGATTATTGCCGTCTGCCTGCTCGGTTCTAATTTGCAGATAGGCTGGCAGCTGCCCTCCTATAATGAAATACTTTGAGATTATGAATTGAAACCGATCTTTTTATTTTCAGCTTTTCCCTCTTCAGGGGTCACCACAGCGAGTCATCCTCCTCCATCTCACTCTGTCCTCTGCATCCTCTGTTGTTACTCCAACTACCTCCATGTCTCTAACTTAGAACTGAAACAGATGTTGAAAGAAAAAACTTTGGCCACCTACTGCACAAGATATTAAAAAATATATATCGCCAGAAGGTGAAAAATTGACTAAAATGTTGTAATGATCAACTATCAGGATTGTTACTGTGAGGAAAAAAAATCACTTGTCACGGCTGAATAAAGCAAAAAAGAATGAGTTCCTCTGCATTATAGTGTGTTGGTGGAAATAAATAAATGTTCCCAAGAAAGCTTCAAAGGAGTGTTGTTGATTTGAAAGGGTTCTGACATATTAATGGCGCATGTCATTTGGTCAGTTAAAGTCCAAAATGTATAAACACATGCTTTTTCCCCTCTGCCAGAAGATTTTGATGCTATAACTTTTCCTTTTGAACCTAGCACAGCGCTGCTCTGAGGCCAGCGATGGGAATTACGATGAGAAAAGTTTATGATACAAAACTCAGCTTTATTGAAAAGGATCTAGCATTCACTTAAAGCTCCCAGGAGATTTTACAGATCGTCTAGCTAACACAAAGATAGCCCTGTTTCAGCCTGCTCACATGTGCTGCTTCTTTTCTTTTATTTATTTGATTATTTTACCACTTCCAGGGTGTTCAGATGTGAACAGTGACCTGCTTTCGCCTGTGGGACGTAATCTTTGGTAAAACAGAAGTTTTGATGACTTTTTAAGAAATTTGTAGTTTTAATTAATCTAAGCTTTAATTGTTTAAATGTATAAATTGCCCTCGGGTGTTTAAAAAAGTCATAGGTACACAGTGTGTGCAACTCATCAGAAGAGTAAACTTATTTTTTTTTATTGTATTCTGCTGAAATGTACTGGTTTATTTTATTTTTTTTTTTTTTATTGTTTTATTTATTTATTTGTTTATTTATTTTTATTCAAAGCCTAAAACTCACAAGACTGCATTGGCTCTGCCTTCAAAATTACCCTGATTGTAAGGAACTGTCATCATCGGTGTAAAACTAACATATTTTTATTAACAAAAATTCAGCAATACTCTGTTTGAGCTCAATTATGCAAAACCTTGCATTGGGCTGCATTATAAGAGTTAGCTTAAATCTAACACATTGCACAACTTATAAATACCTGGAGAGTAAAAACATTAATATAAAATGTATTTGGTGTTTTCTTAGTAATCTTACTCAAATAGCCAATCCTTTCGGGGGGTCCCAAATATGTTTGAAACATTTTTGTAAATCCAATTATTTAGATTTGTGAACATCTTCCAGTTGAATTGATTTGGTGTATTTTACACCATATGCATATAATTTTTTATTTATTTTTATTTTTTGCAGTGCATTTCTTCTCAACATTGGCAGTAATGGTCCTCTCCTTTCTGAGTCACCAAACACATGCAAAATTGAAATTCATTGCTGAACATGACACAGTGCCACTTGTCATCAGTCCATGCCTTCCAGTTACAGCACCCCTCCAAATGCAGCCACGTCTACTCTGGTCATAACATTAGCCTACACGGGACAAGGAACCAGCAGTCTGGTTGATGACAGACATTAAAACATGATGCAAACAAACACAGGCCGTTGTAAAAAAAATCCAATACCTGTGTTCTGATAGGAGGTGCAGGTTTTATAGGGTTCCATAAACTTGGCGTGATTTGTCTTGGGCAACTAAAAACGTAACGTGTGAGTGTCCTCATTTACCCTTTGGTTCAAGTATGCAGTTGTTGTGACATCTGTCCCACAGATCAGGCTCAATTGGACCACTTGGCCTTGTGAAAACCTGAAATGCTACAGCTATCAAACTCCATCATGTGCAGGCTGTCCAATGCTACGATATATCTCTATGTCTGCTAACCTTCACTCACTGTTGACTATAAAAGAAGGGTCCAATTAAAAACTGCCTGATAATACTGTATTAACTTGTCTCAGCTTTTGTTCAACTCTTCCCAGTCATCATATTCCCCTTGATGGCTCAGTGTAAAGAACTCCAGGCCTCAGGCTTGTCAGCACAACGGAGTCAACATTTCTTCCCTAGAACTCTCAGATGGTTTGTAGTTTTGGATGTAGCTGTTGATTACGTCTGGACAGACCGGCGATAGCTGAAACTGGAATCTGGTTTATCTTCAATTAAGAGGTTTTAAAAAAACAAAATCAGTTTTAAAGGAAGATGTTGGTGGAAGCAGTTTAATACACAACTCGTGCAAAACTACAAGGTGGGTTGTTTCATATTTTTGTTGTTTGGCTTTTTCTATATTTTTTCATTATTAGGAACAGGTTCAAAGTTCTGTGTTGACAGTCTAAGTGTGAGTGAATTGAACGATCTGAGGTGGCAGGAAGATTAATGACTGTTGCCAGCAGCAGTATATGCCAAATGGGTCTCAGCAATTTGTTTTTTATTGGATCTGTAGAATCACGATGACAAACCAAGCTAGACAAGTTTAATAACTTTTACTATCACACACTGATATGGTTCTAGCAAAGCTTGAAAGAATATGCATAGAGTGAACTTGTTGGGAGGGTTGGTGAGTGGAAGACAAACAGACAGATTTTGATGAAGGGGAAGCCTTGCTCTGAATGTGGATCATCTTAATGAAAGAGTGAAAGTAATAGCATGAGGTAAAGCTACGGTCAAAGCAATTTCACATAGAAGTTGTGGTTTGATGAATAAATTACTGCAAATGTGTCAGTTGGTGTTAATGTGTAGATAGTTGAAAGGCTTTGACTCCTTGAACGCAGTTTTCAGTCTGTGGTTCACATGCTCTAACAAACTTTAAGGGGTAAAAAAACACATTCTTAGATGAAAAAGTCTGAAGTCAAATTCACCAACAAGAACAAATGATCTGTTGATCAGAGAACACTAAAAATAGAGTGGGTTTATTTAAATAAGAAATGAAAGCACATGCTTTGGTTACTGGGAACATAATGTGGTTACATGCTACTGTCAGTACATACTGAGCTTGCATGGACCTTCTTAAGGAGAGATGTTGCTAACAGTTGCTAAGGTTTTCCAGCTTTTGCAATCTGCTTTTAACATCATCCAGTCAGATTTGTTCCATCTCAAACGTGTCCTAAATTTAGACAAAACCAAAGGGATGTTGTTTTCAAACAGGAAGTCGGTCCCAGCAGTTCTTCCTCTGATTTTATCCTTGAATGGTGTTCCCATTGAGTTTGTCGATTCCTACAAATATTTGAGTATCTTGGTCGACTCGCATCTCTCTTTTAAGCTTCACGTGGAAAACCTAGTAACTAAACTGAAAGTTAAATTGGGTTTCTTTTTCAGAAATAGATCCTGTTTAACTCTGAATGCTAGAAAACGCCTTGTATCTGTGACTTTCCTCTCCTACATTGACTACGGTGACATTATTTACATGAACGCTCCTACAAGCACCCTGCAGTTGTTCTTGCTGTCTATCATGGTGCACTAAGTCAGAGTCAGAGTCAGAGTTTCTTTATTGTCATTCGCACCTCATGTGGTACATGTGGTGGAGCGAAATTATGTACACAGGGTCCCAGTTACATCCAACAATAAAATGTATAAGAAAAACAGTAATAACATCTAAGATATGAACTAAGAAATGCATCAACTAAATATACACTAAGCACTCATAACATAAAACATTGAACATCACCACAAACATGACACTAAGATTCATAACTGGCTGTAACTACTGTACCCACCATTGCACCCTATATTCACTGTTTAACTGGTCATCATTAACTTCACACAGACTCTCTTACTGGTACATTTTCATCTTTAAATCACTTCTTGGTCTGCTGCCTTCATACATCTCCTACATGTCTCTGTGTGAGTGCAGCTACAGCGTGCGCTCTCAGGACATTATTACCTGCAGTGTTCCCTCAGTGCGGACTGAACTAAACAAAAGGGCCTTCTCCTACTCCGCTCCTGTTTCCTGGAATATCTTGCAAAAAGATGTGAAGCTCTCAACCTTGACCTCTCTAAGTGGCTTCAAACATCTGTTAAGTTCCTGGGAAAAACTAATGCAAACAAGTTCCTGTTTTTAGTTTTCTACATCACCTTACAACCTAGCTGTTTTTGTTTAATTTTTGTAATACCATCTTCTTTCATTTGTTCTTCTGAATTTTTATGCTTTCTTTTACGATTGTCTACTGTTGTCTTTGTTGTCTTTTGTTGTCATCGCTCTTTGTTAAAATCAGGCCCCACTTGTAAATGAGTCCCTGAGGCTCAATGGGACTAACCTGTATAAGTAAAAGTTGAATGAACGTTGTCACTCATTAGGGAAAAGTACGCATCAGTTTTTTCTCCTCATGATTCAAAGAAGATGGAAAAAAAGATGAATGAACTTATGGAAGAAGATTCTTATCAATACATATTTGTTTCTAGTGTGTTAAAGGGAGACTCCTTACAGTTAAAAAGAACTGTATGCTGCTTTAAGTCTTTGATGCTCTAAAATAGACATAACACTCAACAGATTTATTCTAAGAAAGTGTGACATTTGACACCTGTTTCAGCTTGTGTTGAGATCCTCCTGCTGGTTTTGTTCCCTTTGACGGCCCTGATGTACACAGTGTAGAGAAGTGCTGGCTTCAACCCAGTCAGCACATAGGAAGTGCTATTTGGCCCCAAATGTATTTCTTCACTAGAGCCGTCAGGGTGGGTGTAAGTTAGGATGTAGCCATCAACTTCTGCCTGGACTGGATTCCATGAGATGGTAAAGCTGGACTCTGTTTCGTCTCGGACTACGAGGTTAGCTGGAGCATCCAGTTCTGGAGGGAGATGTTTGTGGATGGCATTAAACAATGCGACTTAAACAATAGATCACTCAATTAGGGCAACAATTGCTGATTTTCACTAAAAGAATGTGAACGTTAGCTTAGTAAAATCTTCATGTGGTACGGAAGCATTTTGTCTTTTGTCTAACTTCTTATGCATCTATATATCGTTCTCTTTAACATAACTTTATCATGATAAAATCAGAAAAAGTTTTTTTTCTGCCAAATTTGCTCAGTTCATCGTAAACCATTCAGATGAGATGCTTCATTTCTAAATAGAAAGTTGTCAGTCTGAGACCTGTCTCGGCTTGAGTTGAGATCTTCCTGCTGGCTTTGCTCCCTTTAGCAGCCCAGACATAGATGGTGTAGATGACCCCTGGCTTAAGGTTGGTCAGCACATAAGAGCTGTCAGATCCAACAAGGATTTCCTCACTTAAGCCCTCAAAGGAGCTATAGGTCAGCAAGTAGCTATCGATGTCTGCCTGGGTGTGATCCCAGCTCAGTCTGAAGCTGGAGTCTGTCTCTTCTTTGACCAAGAGGTTAGTAGGAGCATCCAGCTCTGCATGGGAAGTTACAGTCAGTACACACATTACTATATTTAGAGCAGAAAAGCAGGAGTGCATGGTTGATAAAGATCAGCAGCACATACAGTAGATGAAACCACTTAATATAGTAAATAAGGTTACCGTAATTTGTGTTTTGTTTCAAACAATTTCTTTAATTTCAGCGTACATATCTACGTTTTCAGTGATTTCGTTTTGTCTTCCAGTGTTTCTGTTTCTTAGTTATTTTATATTTCTGCATTTTGTTCAGTCAGACAGCTGACAGTTTCTGTTTCCCTTCTATAGATTTTCTTTAGCATTTGTCTATGCCCGTCACTCATCTGCTGTTAATTTATACCCATCCCAGCTGCTTCCTTTTACTAATCACTTCACCCAGTACTATTTCTGATGCATGTGTGTGTGTTTAGTGTAAGATCGTTGTATGTAAAGTCACATCTGTCTTGGTGGGTTTATTTTCACTTAATAAAGAACCTATTTTGGGTTTAAACATGTCTGACTGCAGCCCCTTTGGGTCCTAACAACCAACAATGTTCATTACAGTTTAAACTACATTGATGATTACAGCTGGTTTTTATCGTAAGATCTTTCTGTTTTCATTAAATATGAGAATGAAGTGGCCTTGCTGGTTAAAATAATGAGTTTATTTTGTATGTGACTGCTTTTTTTTAATGTTTGAATACCATAAAATGTGTCTTTAAAAATACCAAATTGTTGCACAACATTAAAGCTGGTTTGGGACCTATTCTAAATTTTGATTTGCTTTTATGCTATAATTTTATTAATGTAGATATTTTATTGTCCATAAAACATTGTTTATTCTTGGACAGAATATATTGGTAATCAGATACTGTATACTGATGATGAAAAACAAGTTTAAATATCCAGCTTGTCAAAAGAGACGATCTGAGGTGAAATAATTTGCTCTAATAGAGAGAAGCCTTGTTTAAATGAGAGGATGGACTTGTGCAATTTTTTAAATGGTCGTTAAGATTTGTGTTTAATGACTTTTCTTTTTCCATAAATTATGCTATTTGTCTTTGTAGGAGTTGGTGAATCTTCCCTCTGGAGAGCCCACCAGAGCAAGACAAATGAAGGGAAGTACACTTAATCTTTATTAAGAGATTCTACAAAGTTATTTTCTGGATTTGATATCTTATTATTAATGAAATGCTGCAAGACACAGTTTGCAGTCATTTGCATACCTTGGCTGAATCTTGTAAAAAGGTCAGATAAAGTTTCATCCTCCTACATCGATCTTTGTCAAAGTTTAACGTGAGACGTTCTATTCCTGCAGCGTGATGTATGAATGAGCTCATTGGAGCTAACGTGTCTGTAATCCCCATTGAAAGAAACCAAGAAAGCAAAAAAAACAAACATTTGAAAAACATCCAAAGCTATACAAAAAAAAAAGCAGCTGTAAATCGTTTGCATCAACTGCTCCTGTGTTATTTCCCAAACAGTATCAAACATTTGGACTCACATTGTTGGTAAAAGTCAGTTTAATCTGAATAGTTATGAAAAATATTATTCCATGGTTTGATGCTGCTGTACAACCGGGTCTTCCCAGCTTCTTGGATAAATGCCAGTGAGTAGTCAGAGTTTATTTTTCCCACTGACTATCTTCCAAAGCATAAATGCAAGCAGACAGCAACAGCTGCTAAGTCCAATAACAGGCAGCTTAAAAAGCAGCAGAACATCAAAGACCAAAGAGGCAGAAGAGCTGACTGTTGACCAAGCAAAATTGTCTCTTTTCAGACCTTTTACAGACATTAGGACTCAGGCTTAGGTGAAGAGCAGTTAAATAGGGAATCCATCCGAATTGTGTTAAATACTATTTTTCACACAGAGTTGAAGTCTCCTCCACTGCAATTTGGATTACCAGAAGTTAATGTGGTTGATATAAAATGTCAGCATTAATGCATTTTTCCTTTTACCATCACAAAAAGTGAAGAAAATGATTAAATAATTAGGCAAAAAAAAAATCAAATCAAATGATTTATGCATTAAGAACTATTTGTAGGAAGAATGTTCTGCACAGAGCAGCACACAAAAATGAAACTTCAAACATTTCTCTTTATAAGCTATAAAGTTGTGCTTTTGAACAACTTTAAACCCTAAGAATCACAAACATCGTGCTGTAAATGCAAAAACTGAGAAGTTCCTTAAATATATATACCTTAAATGTATTATATTGGTTTTATATTGGTGTGCTAAGATTTTTGTGTCATATCTTTGTGAATGACCCCAGCTGGCCCCTTGTCACCAGAGCTTAAAGCTCATAAACAATATAAATACTTCAATGAGCTGAAGGCCTCATTCAAAGTTTACCTGTTTCAGCTTCGGTTGAACTCCTGCTGCTGACTTGGTCTCCTCTGAAGGCCCAGATGTAGATAGTGTGAAGGACACCAGGCCTCAAGCCTACCAGCCTGTAAGAGGTGCTATCACGTCCAACAGGGATGTCTGGACTGGAGCCTCCAGCAGAGGTGTAGCTCAACATGTAGCCCTCGATTTTAGCCTGGACCTGATCCCAGGAGACGGTTGCTGTGTCTTCAGTTACTTCAGTGGTGACAATGTTTGTTGGAGCGTCGATTTCTGATGCAGGAAAGGTACAAAAATGACCAAGAAGTGAAATGGAGAAATTACAAGGTCAAAACAATGTTGTGTATTTTCCACAAGAAACTCAAACTGCCATAAGGGAATCAAAAATAAAAAGGACAAGACACAACTCAAATGTATGAAATGATTATTTTCAAAATGAAAAACTGAAAAGACTGGGAACCGGTTTTGAACTGGTTAGAGAACTGAAGCCTAAGAAGAAACAGGTTGAAAAGCAACATCTTGCAAAAAAAACAAGTAAACAATTTTTAAAAAAAATTGCATGATGCCAACATATAAAAAGTGAGGAAGACGTGGATCGCTTTTCATATTTTTACATGTTCTGAACTAAA